AAGTTCTGGGCTGTTTTCCCTGTGACTCGGAATGGGGAGCATCTTGAGTAACTGGTCCACTGGATGGTGGAAGGTGCCCCCTTTGGTCCAAAAGGTAGGACCCGCAAGGCCGGGGGGGGTGCGCCCCCCCCCCACCGCCGATGGCCGCAAGTTTCCTATAGGTCAATAGTATTTCTGAAAATACTACTTTGCCTGAAAGGACGGGGGCAGGGAATCTAATGGGACCAGAGCTGAGATGCTGCAGGTCTCTGTGTCTGGAGAGACCTTTTTGATCAGTGCAGAATTCATAGAATGTGCTGACTCTGGAGCTGGAAGGACATCCAGGTCCATGAGAAAGTTGATGGATTAACCTGCCCCCCTCCTTCCTTCTGCCCATGAATGGACAGCTGTGGGAGAATCTCCGAGGGAGATACTTACAAAGTTTTCCTCTTAAGAAATGCGAGCTGGGATTCCCCACAGGCATGCCTGCTCCTAGTACTTACCTATAAAGCTCTGAGAAGAAAGAAATCAAAGCCGCAAAGTACCATATTATGTCTTCTCTATAAGGTGCCCTATGGGTGGGATAATTCCACCAATCTAACAAGAACTATGTGTTACAATGGTCAGTTACCCAAAGGCACCGTTACCACCCGACAGTAAGATGAGATAAGGCACATTATGAGCTGGTCTATATAAACTGCTGTCTTAAAAATCTGTGTCTTTGGGGGAGAGGGGATGCATGGTATGACCTGCTTTGGTTTCGAGTTTACTTGCTGGGTTGATTATTAGACTGTTTCCATTTGGTAGGAGGAACATGAAGGTGCTTAAAGGAGCTTGTGGTCTTGTTGAATCTGAAGGATTTGTTGTGCCTTTAATGGATGTAGGAACATAAAAACAAAGTGTCATACTAGACTGGACCCAAAGTCCTGCTAGTTCAGGGTTCTATCACTAACAGACGCTTTAGATGCACTACCCCTCTGATACTTTGCAGTAGGCAGATGTGGGATAATCTGCCCCCGCACTCTCCCTCCCCCCCCATGAGCTCTGATCCTAATCTCTAATGGTTTGGGATTGGTTTAAATCCCAAAGCATGAGATTTAATATCCCTCCCAAAACTTGTTCCCGTTAGTTATGAGCGCTGGATAGTCTTGTCACACACGTGTGGCAGAGTATATGCGCCCCCTTCTGGAAGGGCAGGAACTTGTGGAAAGCAGGATCACATGCTGTGCCTTGCTGCGTCTACTGCTGTCATTCATTGCTGGTTATCCTGGCAGCCCGATTGGCTGCATCTCGGCACCTCCCCTCTGCGTGCCTTCTGCCTGGGCGTTTGGTCTAAGTTTCAGTTTCCTTTCTGCTGCTCTGCTTAGTTTCTTTTCTCCTACCCCGCTGGCTTGGGAGTTTTCCTCTTCCCTCTGAGTCAGCCGATTTTCAGTGGCGAGCTGTGAGCTTGCGCCGAGGTTGTCTCCCTCCTCTTTGAAAGGTCAGGGGGAATTTGCCTTCCCTGATTTCAGCCTGCAGACCAGAGCTGGGGGCACCACCGCCCACCAGTTGCAGCGACAGGGTGCTTTGCACCGAAGGGATTTTCTCTCCTTTGCAAGCGTGAAGCCAGAGCAAAGGACACAAAGGAAAGCTGGGAACTAGTTCTACAGGGGCTGCGCCAGTAAACTGGAGCCCGGATGACTGCGGAGCAGAAAGAGAGCCTGCGGTGCTACAGGCAGTACATTGAGAAGATACTGAATCCTGCCTATGTGCTGGGCTACATGAACGACTGGCTCTCTGATGGTGAGATGCTGGCTGTGGGCTGGGCTTGCTGTGGGTGGGTGCTCTGGGCAGTCCTTGGCCACGACACCCCTGGGCCGCCATCCCCGCCCCTCTCATGAATGCTTCTCTCCTGGAGAGCAAGTGGTTGGTGACAGGGGATTTCTGTTCTCTTCTCCCCTCTCACCACTTTTGTTTGTCCCTCTTTGCTCATTCTGTTGTCTCCTCTTTAATTATGTCCCATCTAATGAAGATATTTCTATTGAGTGTTGGCTTTGTTTAAAAAAAATAGTTTTTCAGCCAAGTACAGCGAGAGTTCATGGTGTCCCTTTAACGACAATTTAACCTCAGCTGTACCCGGCAACTCTCTACACAGCTCCTAAACCTCTTGAATTGCAAAATAGCGGTAGTTTTCCTCACTTAGTACCCACTATTGAAGTCATTGGGAGCTTTGCCACTGACCTGAATGGACACAGGGTCAAGTCTTTTATTCTTTCTGTGCCGTATTGTCCATAGGTCTAGGGTTCAAATGGGAGAAAGGGAGATGGAGAGAATACCATTTCCCTTGTTAAACTGATGGTAGCTTAATACACCTAGCGAGAGGACTGAAGGGAAGAGGCAGTTTCCGTTTTGAAATTTTTGGGCCTTGTATCTGACGTACTCTGTGCTGAGTCTTTATATTTAGTTGCTTGGGTGCTCTGTCTATACTTGGCACTGTCTATCTATGGAAATGAACATTTATTGCTTCCTGATGTTTGAAGTGCCAGTTCCTGCTCTTGGGTGGGGACCACCTTGATCTGTGTTTCTATAGCACCTTGCACAATGGGTCCATTACCAGTGCTCCAGCGTGCTGCGCAGTACAAACAGAACAATGCTGGAACATCCATGAATTAAGGGATGCTGCCGCTTTTTGCTGCTGCACATAGACTTTGGCAGATGACGGCAGCAAATGGGTTAATGTGGTACCCAGCTTTGGGGTTAACAGAAAAGTATCAGTCTAATGCCCCAAAATATGGTAGGTGCCTTACAAAGCATATGAAATGCAAGGCTTGTGACTTTTTTCAAAGCCAGTTGGCAGATTTAGCCACACAGCTCCGTGACAGAGACTCTTTGGCAAAGGGTCCCCTGTTCTTTTCAAACAACTCTCACCTCAGAGCTGACAAACTCATTACACCAAATGCATGTATTTACCCATAAAGAGTAACAAGTAAGGTATCTACAGAAAGCTCTTAACTTGCAAAATACATGGTCTTTATGTTTATATGGGTTGTATTTAAGAAATAATATATTTATATTGAATGTATGCTTTATGGACCTGGAGTAGAAATTAGTCACCAGGGGATAATGTGTGTCGGTGGTGGCCCATTCAGGCAAGAGGGGAAGTGTCACCCTACACTGTTTAGCTAGTGAGGCAATGCAAGGCTCAGTTGTTTGGCCTTCTGCAATACTAAGGCCTGGTCTACACTAAAAAATTAGATTGGCATAACTACGTCATTCAGGACTGTGAAAAGTCCACACCCCTGAACGGCGTAATTAAGTCAACCTAAATCCCTGTGTAGACAACTTTAAGTCAATGGAACAATTCCGTCGACTTAACTATGGCCTTTCAGGGAAGTAGATTACCTTTGTTGATGGAAGAACCCCATCCCATTCGCATAGGTAGCGTCTACACTGAAGGGCTACAGCAGTGTACCCTCAGTGTTTGAAGTCTAGACAAGTCCGAAGACTTTGAATGGGGAAACTATCAGAGGCAAATGCAAACAATTGAAATCAGTTAAAGGGAAGTTAACAACCAGACGGGTTCACTCTGTCTATGAAAAGAAAGATAAAGATGTTGTTATACTGATAACACAGAGGAGGGAGAAGCACTCTGCATCCATTCACTGAGGAAAAACCTTTGTGGAGTGCAGCGGTGCTTTTATGAATGTTTGGTTCTTGTTTTTTGAGAAACCAGCCAGTTTTGCAACAGACTGAACTTTGGAGGGTTATGGGGGGAGACTTCCTTTATTAGATAGGAAAGGTACTCTTGATAGCTACACTCAGGTTCGCATTTTATTATTTTGTTTTCTATCATAACCATTTGTTACCATCACACTCAGTTCTAGTGAAATCTTTACTCGTTCTTAAATAAACCTACTTTTGTTTTATTATAAGTGCTCACAAGTGCTGTTTGGTTTGCAGGAGCAGCAGTCTGGGGTAAAACTGGTAAATTGGGGTACAGTGTACATTTGAGGGGAGAGGATCTGGGATATCTGGGAATAGCCAGCTCGATATCATATGGAAATGATTCAAAGGGCCTCAGGGATTGGGTTGCATCTAGTAGGGTTGGCATAGCCTAGAGGGCTTGGGTGGCTGAAAGGCTGGTGGTACCATGGAGCTGACTCCCAGCTACCCCAAGACAACTCCCTCTTGCTGGAGGCAGGGGTTAGGGTGACCAGATGTCTAGATTTTTTTTTTTTTAATAGGGACAGTTCCGATTATTGGGTCTCTTTCTTGTATAGGCTCCTATTATTCCCCCCCATCCTGATGTTTCACATTTGCTGTCTGGTCACCCTAGCAGGGGGTAACATAGTGTCTCTCTCAGGCTTGGATTCCCCAAGAACTGTTAGACTCGCAGTAATTTCAGTGAGACTTGTGTGACCAAATCCCTTTGGCAGCTTTCTCAATTTCAACCAAGAACTTGTAGTCTGAATTTGGGTTTAATTTGTGCATCTCCAGAGATTGTTTCCCACTCATAAGGTGTATATGCTTCCTCTCCTTGCCTCGGGGAAGTGCAGTATAAAGCAGATACCCATAATGTAAATATACCCAGGAAGTATTTCAGCACCTGCAGCACTCTGCACCAGGTGCTGTCCCCACTGCTGTCCGCACACCAGATCTACAATTTTGACTTATTCATATCTGATTTCACGCTAGGTGCCAGAGAGAGAATTCAGATTGAGGAACAGAAGGAGGGGCTGACTGCTGCTGCGGCTCTCTTTGTTGACTCTATACTGCAGCTCGAATCAGAAGGATGGTTTCGGGGATTTCTAGATGCACTGAATGAAGCAGGTTTGTTTTCATTGGTAAAGCTGACCGTTTTCATTTTCCCTACTTTTTCATGTCGTGTGTGAATTTATTGCTTGTGAAAGGTGCTGGATTGACCACCCTGGAACGTGAACCCCTCTTAGTTCCATAGGTCAAGTTGTAGCAGTACAAGCTTCTCCACCAATCCATCTCGTAGCTAGAAGGTTGAGAGCAGAGGTTAAATTGGGCTGGCTCATGGCAGCTTGGTGAGATAGGACATGTGCGTGTGCATACACCTGCACCATTCTGTGTCCCAGAATCTCAGTTTTGTTAACTCAAAAAAGCGAGCCAACAAAAAAACAAATATTAAGTCTCTAGCCCTTGGGTTGCAAAGAAAACCTGCAAAATGTGAACCATGTAACTGATGCAGTGAGGTCTGCAGACAGCCTGAGACAGTAACTCCGAGAGGTATGAACTGCACTAGTTCCTCGAAAGCCTAATTATGACAATATAAAAGTCAATATTGTTAATTTTCTATGTTGATCAAAGCAAGATGTTGTATTATGAGGATCTGGACAATTTACTTTTTTAGTGACATCTTGTTTTGGTTGGCAGAAGCTGTTTTTTTTATTTATTATAAAACTTAAGAGAATAGCTATAAAAGAATGATTTTCATATCCCAGACTGTTTGCAAATATTGGCAGTAGGAAAAATCTTTTTACTTGGGAGTTGAGGAAATTTGATCCATGATTCAATGAGACTTAATAAATGGGGAACTCCAACATCATTAGTCATTTTTCAGAGTAAAGACCACACTCTAATGGTCACGCACAAAAGAAATATATAGCAGTTTCCTTTCTCCCTTTCATGGATTTAGCTATAAAGAATATTGTTTAAAAAAAATCTAAAATGATAATTTAAATATAACTCTCTTCTTTTAATTTATCAGCATTGTATTTTATTTCCATAGCACTGAAGTGTATACAATGCTATGTAATGGATGAGTTTGTGCCAAATAAGTAACAGGTCACTGCCTTGAACTTATTTTCAAATGGTCTCTAAATGCTCTGATATAAGCACCAGCTGTCGTGTGTGCGTGTGCGTGTGCGTGTGTCCGTCCATCCCCCCCCCCAGAGGATTGCTATAAGGTAGCATTTAAAACCCTCTGACCTCAGAGAGAAGAGCTCCTCTGCTTTTAATATGATAACAAAAA